GAACGGCTCGTACATGCAGTTTGGGCAAGACCATTTCGGGTTTGAGAAGCCATTTGTGAGATTCAGGGCATTTTGTTGACTCAGTCAAACCGTAACCATCCGCCGATGAGTGTAGCTGTTGTGCCCAGCTTTCATGGGCTTCTTCTATTGATGTCACTATTTGCCTATGGGCCTGCATCGGAAGGTTGCAGATCCTAAGAAAAGGTGTGAAGGTTTCGGAGGACGCGATGCTGCGTATGAGCGGATTCCTGTTGTTGAGTAGTGCCTCAATTCTTTTGCACCTATGAATCGGAATCGTTGTTGAGAGATTCATAATTCCCAGGCCTCCCTTTTTGATATCCGCGTGGAAAAATGCAGTTGGAGTGTCTTTCGGGAGGTGAAGCCAGCGGCGGACAGCTGCACGAATAAGTTTGTCCATCGTTTTCAGGGTATTCTTGTGAGTGATGCTGAGAGTCAGTGAATATAGTAGACGAGGAATCAGATTGTTCTTCAGGATTCTCATTCGTTGATGAGGTTTAAGGGGGGCGCTTTTCACATTGTCTAAGTATTTGTTGAGGACGCCGACATGATCGAAGCAGCGCCTGCCCTTGTAATTGAAGGGAACACCCAGATAGGTAAATTCCTCTGTTGGCGAGATGGCTGGAATTGACAGGCAGTTGATACTGAAGACAGTAGGAGAAAGGGCAACGATTCTGCGCTGTCTGTCAGCGACTATGTTGATTGTGCGGCTTTTGTCGACGTTGATCGATAATCCCGCCAGCTCCAGCGAGGCGGCGATACAGCCGAGTTTGTTTTGAAGAGCCGCAGCATTTGGAGCTAGGATGATGAGATCATCAGCATATGCTATGTAGTGCAGAGGATGGCCATCGACGTAGATGGGGTCATGGGCTTCAAGAACATTGAGTATCTCATCCATTATTTTTTTATAAGCTTGATTCACACCGTATTCAGTACAAGTATGTTACTTTCACTAATCTATAGTCATGATGAAGGGAAGCGGTGACAGAGGGTCACCCTGTTTGACTCCTCGTGTCGGATGACAATTCACTTCGTGAAAGAGACTGTAAGAGTTGGAGTAGTAGTTTGTAAGATATTCTCTAAGCATTGGGGGCGCACCAAAACTCTCAGCCACCCTTAGAATTGTTTGATGTAAGACGCTGTCGAAAGCTTTCGAGATGTCGAGGATAGCTAACGCGCAACTTGTGTAGTTGGAGTGCGCTTCTCTCAAGATGGCGTGAAGTAGATTGGTTGCTTCGAAGCAGCCATCACGTTGCAGGAAGGCAAACTGTAGTTTTTCCATTGGGAATGATCTGGACCATCGCTTGGCGATAATCTTGTGCAGACAGCGCGTAACAACAGAAGTGATGGAAGTAGGCCGGAAGTCGGTAGGGTTATCGGGATGTGATGTCTTCGGAATGAAGGTGACCCTGGAAGCTGACAAAGGTGAAGGTAAAAAAGACGTCAGCAAAAGAGTGTTAAAATACCCAGCCAGACTAGAGGGGTTGATTTTCTGGAGGTCCCTGGCGGTTATGCGGTCGACACCTGCGGCGGATTTGACCATTTCTTTTAGTGCCCATTTGATCTCTTCAGTTGAAACTGGGGCGACCAAGTCGTTGTTAGTTGGAAGGTATTCCTGGGCCGGTCTAGTGTCTGGTAGGGCTGGGCGTGTGAAGGTGTCTATCCAAAATTCATTGAAGCCTCCTATACTGGAAGGCTGACATTTAAACGGGTTTCTCCATCTGCCATCAAGTACCGTGTTTGCAGCGTCTTTCGGCGAACGGTGGAAGAGCGTTTGCATGTGGGCATATAGAATGCGTCGCCTCTTCTTGTTGTTTAAGTTCGGTGGGAGACCGGAGACGTATCGCTGCTTGGATAGTTTCCATTTTGTAGGGAACAGTTGGTGGGCCTGCTTATCCAAAAGTTGACGTGTCTCCTCAAGAGTAATATCATTTGCATATAGTTGCAGAATAATTTGTCGAGTGGATTCAGTGTCCAGCCGCTGAGATGAATTTGCCAGTTGTGTGCTGATGGCAGCCAGGAGGTTAGCGTGTATATTGTCCATGTTGAGGCTTCTATGAAGTGTCAGATTCACCAGGGGACTTGAACCATCTTGAGTGAGTCGAGTAGTTGGCATAATTTGTCTTCGAGCTTTATGTTCAGAGGTTGCAGTGGGTGATGAGGTTCGGTTGACCGAGAAAGCGTTGACAGTATAAGTTGGGACTGGTTCGTCAATATTAATAGTATGCAGAAGTGGACGGGTCATTGTCACAGCAGTGGGAGAATATAAAATTGTTCTATCGACAGTACTTATTGCATAGTGGTACTGCGGTATTCGCATTGGTTGGGTGGATTCCTCGATTACACTGCAATCATTATTAATGACAGCCAATTGGAGGGATCGCTGTTCTTCTAGCTGAGTTGGCGTACAGGAATTCGATGAGATTGTGATAGCTGGATTTGAAGTTGCTCTGCATGGACTTATAGGAGCAGAGATTGATCTGTTGACGGTGAACGTATCAGTGAGCGAGGTAACTGGCTGAATTTGGAGATAAGACGTATTTGGAGTTAGGACTATTGTTGGCAGAGATGAGCTGAGTCTACGTCTCCATTTTAGCCTGGCTAGACGTAGTCTAACTGCATCGGCGGTGCGGTTGCCAACGGCTTCGGCGACAAGAGCGAAGAACTGTATAGGCGCAAGTAAAGGTGAATCGAGACATTTGGCCGTTGAGATCAATCGAGCATCTTCTTGAGTGGACCAGGTTTGAGGTCTTGGACGTACATACAGTGCTGATCTAATAGCATAGTTTTCATGTGATGATGCAGGTGAGGATGGCATCGAGTAGGAGTCAATGGTTGATGCGGAGTGCGACGATGATGGGACAAATGTTAACCATTTGAGTGTTTGTAGACGGCGTCTGATGGCTTAAACTGACCGATGTGGCAGATGGTCGTGTAGGTGTTGATACAGTTCAGCTTTGCTGTTGAATCGGTCGACTGCTGCATCTGCTAACATCAGTAAAGTGAGTTCTTCATTTTGGGACCAATTTCGTCGTGTTCGACAGTCGTTGAGGATGCGACCGAGAAGGACCTCATTGTATTCGGCGTGGTGGATTTGACGCAGATGCTGAGTCAAACCTCTCGGAGAAGCGAAGTTTGAAGGACAGTATATACACAGGAATCTTGGAGATACCATTGAGGATAGGGATTGATTGGACCGCATGGAGTGAGGTGATGACGGATTGGATGTGAGGGGCGAAGGATGAGCTGCTGGCAATTGGGAGATGAAGGAAGGAGAACAGGAGGCTGTTGTTTGAGGGTCAGCTTGAATCATGGCAGAGGCCATGGATTGTGATGAGGGTTGGCTTGACATAGCTGACATGACTGGAGATTGCGGTATCGCAGGCTCGAGTTTGGAGGACAACCAACGATGAACTGTTAGTTGTGCCACGGACCGTTCATAGGCCCTCACCCGTGGCTTGACAAATGGTTAAACCAAAATCAAACAAAGCAAACAAAAACGAAACAAAACAGAAATAAAAACAAACGAAAAGAAAGGTACTGTTATACGATATTCCACGTAATCACTTTGGGATTGAAGCAGAAAGAACGGAAGGAGGTGATATGAAAGAGTCCTCTTTCAAAACCAATAAGAAGGAGATGCAGCGTGAGAATGACTATCGAACAAAGGAGCGCGGAGAGAAGAGTCGAGAAATACCTAGAACAACGGAAGAGGTGAAGAAATGTGGCAGATACAACACTTCGAGAAAGGCAACGAAATGAGTATAATGAGGACGCAATGGGAGGATGTCGATAATCAAAAGTCAAAACTGTCAGAGATACGGTGTCAAAATGGCAATCAAACTACAGATCTCGATCAGAGGAGTCGAAAGATGCCAAGAACAACGGTAAAAGAGGAAGAAATGTGAAAATTACAGTGATGCGAAATAGCCAGCGAAATAGAGGTGGGGATGACGAAGTGGAGAGTGGTTACTTTTGAAGACGAAGGCTACCGAAGATGAGATGATAATAAAGCTTTCAATCGATAGAACTTGAAGAGACGAGCAGAATGAGTACAAACACGGAGGGTAAAAGTAAAAGGGTGCGGAAGTTACAGGGGTTTAAATTTGATAGGTGGGTGGGGCGGGCAGTGCAGAAAAGTCGAATCGATCACATATGTTACAGTTTAAAACTATAAACGTAAAGATGACCTCCACGACGTAAGTGAAGTTAGCATTCACTGTCATACCAGCGCTTTCAACAAATTAGATCTCCAGTACCCAAAAATAGTCCCTTGACAAATAGCGTTGCTACAGGATATTTGATCTATATGATAAATAGAAGTGGCAGTGATGATATATTCCACATGTCAATGCGATCAATTCAAATGCCAAACAAACACATGGATTAAGAATCTATTGCTAATGAAACCTTGGCAATTTTGCAGCATACGTGGCAGACAGGTCATGATTGTTACTTTGGAATCTTGCGAAATCTTATGGTTTTGCACGGGACAAATTTTGGACTGTGTCGCACACACATGGATTAAGCGCAAAACTGAAAGATTTAGAGATGAGAGCAGATTTGTATTTAAAGTGTTAACAGACGCAGAACAAAAATCAGTAAGTTAGAATATGGCAATAGCTATGATTAATGAAATAAAAGTAGTTTGCTTCGGTACTTTAGCTTCAAAATTCTGGCGTGTTCCGTCTATGCAGTAGTCGTAGATAGAAATTAAAGCAGTGTTACAAAGAGAACACTAGCACTGAAAGCTGCTCTGGGAGTTCGGATTGTCTTCTTCCAACTTCTGAGTTTCATTTTCCGCGGCTTTTGACCTTTATAATAAGGAAATAACAATGCCAACATACTTTTTCAAGGAAGAGAATGGGTTGTGAAATCCAGGCCTTGAACGGATAGAGTTCCCAGAAAACAAGCTGTCAGCATTGTTATGTGGGTATCCTGCGCGTATTAGCATGTGTTGCAAAATTATCTAACAAAGTAAACTAAAATGGATGTCCAACCTGTGTTTCTGGGTTGATCTCACCAACATTTGGAGTATGAGACTCAGAACATGCTCGACGTCTTCCACACTCTGCATTATCTGCATGGTCATGTGTAACATGCACTGTGGCTTCTGGTGCAGCATGCGGGGTAAACGCCGAAAACGTGTGGCCCTTTGTGTCAACGTACAATTTTCGTTCTGCAAGATACCTTAGATGATTCTTGTCTGATTCCGATATGGGCTTTAAATCGTCCTACATTTTTCCATAGAAAACGATGAAAATAATTACCTCAGGTGTAATATTTTTCAGAGTTTTGATACCAGGATCATCAATAATATATGTAATTACAACAGAAGCTAGGAAAAGGCAAACTGAAACAATTGGAATGATAACATTCAACAAGTCAGATGTTTCTTGGACTACCACGTTAGTTATCGTAGTGTTTGGTGTTGTAAAATCTCCGTAGCTCTCAGTTGTCATATTATTATGAACAATCTCCGAAAAACAAAACAACGCCTTTAGAGCGTGAAAGTTACTAGCGTACTACGACAAATGGCTTTGAACTAATCAGAATTAGCACACATGACAAATGTTATTTCATACACTTTCTCCTGTTTTTCTCTTTTCCAGAAAATTCTCATGGACATGTCGAGTAATGCTTTAGAGACTACAAAGTTCATAATTTAAGTGATTCCTGGGGAATATGTTGTTATAATCGATCTTCCATTTGCTTTCACGCTAGTGTTAAACAAACCGAGGATTACCGAGTGCTGGTATGAAATGTTTAGTCGTAGAGTACTTCCTGACGCATCCAGTCATGAGTTCTTGAAATCAACTTCTAGGATTAGTGGTTTGTAGGTATTCTTTGTAGCTCTTCGCGACACTTTTCTCAGGACAAAATGAACAGGGGGAAGTAAATGATGTAATTTTTGTCATATGTGCTAATTCTCAGTAGCTCGAGGTGATGAGAACTTTGAATATGAGGTGAATTTTACACGGTCTTGCTTAGTTTCAGCTTTTGTTGTGTTGTACTCTCCAAAAGCTTTACATTCACTTCATATCAGTTTATTCTGATCGAAGTAATTTTTAATTTTCAGCTTAGTTGAGGGAGTTGTGTTCTTGTACCTTTATGGTCACATATATATTTCCATTTTTGTACAAACATTGGTTTTTTATAACTGCTTTGTGTAAAGGTCATATATATGAAGTCATATTTGAATCGTTTTGTCCTTAATCCACTCTGAACATCATGTCTATCAGAAGGAACCGCTGCGGAAATTTTTTTGCCAACTCTCAGTTGAAGGAAAGATGCAGCGTGTAGCTGCAAGAGATGGTTTCACAGCATGTGCACAAACCTAACTCCTGCTGCATACAAGCTCCACTACAAAGCTCTGGCCAATTGGCTGAGCATTGACTGCTGCAGTACGACTAAGTTTCGTATGACAGAATCCAGTGCCACTCTAAGTGGGGTCCAACAGCTCCTGGACCGCAAGGGACCTCCACCACAGCAGAAGAGCGACTACCGCTCAGACGCCAATGAGGTGATCAGCGTCATCGACAAGATATTACACGTTCCTGATGGATATGTCAGGGAGTGAGCGTTCTTCAGCACAGAAGGGCACCTACCGTATTCCAGGCACTCGTGCTGCCCCTACGACACCTGATAAGCACTCCAGTGACAGCATTGGAAAGACTGCCACGAAGATGAGGCATAATAGGGTCAAAATTCCGCAGCTAAATTCAGCCAGGAATTTGCGGTTTAAGCCTCATCCACAAAGGTGGATCGCAGTCTGATACATTCGATAACAGATAGCTAGAAGGATACCAAAGAATGACGTAACGTAGTCTCCTGCAAAAGCGAGAAAAGGACACCATAGTGGCCACACTGTTCACAAAGGACGGAAAGAAACTTTCGCCACAGAGCAAGAAAGCTACGTCTAGTTAACTTGATCTCACTGACAGGTCACTCATTCTTTACAAAGTGGGAGAATCACCGGCTTCCAATCCCATGATCAGGTTCGAGCATTACCTTAAGGTGGTTAAGCGCTTTCTCAGTCAGCTACTGTAAGAGCGGTATCAGGCGGAACCATACACAGCTTATATAGAGTTTACCAAAACCTGACTCAACAGTAAATCAGCTCGTACGCATTTTCAAAGTCGTAGTAAACTCCAAAGAAGAGAGGGACGCCATTCTAAGCAAATCACAAATTCTCAAAGGACCAGGCAAATACAGCTGTGTCGACTTGTGCCTAGCAGACAGCGTCAAAAGACAGTCTTGGGTCGTAGAATTAAGCGAACGACGCCAAAACGGCTAAATACCCCTTAAGATTAAAGGTTTTCGAGTTGCCAAAGTTCGAAGTTTGATGATCCCGAAACCCCTGTGGGTAGGCCGTGGAAGCAAGAAACTTCGTTGACATTCTGCTGTACAAACGCTGGCAACCTGCTGAACTAACGGACTGAGCTGGGTAATATGACAGACGCCGGAAATTCGGATGTTATTGGTATCACAGAGACTTGGCTCACGTCTGATGACACTGGTAACGAAGTTAACCTGTCAAACTTCGAAGTGCACAGGGTGGAGTGACCAAGCTACAAAGGAGGTGGCGAAGTCATCCACTTCGAGAAATGCTTAACCGTGCGTAGCTTCGAAGCACTCGCCCATGTAAGTGAATCGTGTGAAATACACTGCAGACCTAAATGTACCGGCTAAGATATTGACCTCATTGCTATATACCGCAGTCCTGGATACAGTACAGATGATTTCTTATGTAAAAGCTAGGCTCCTGAACAGTGAAATAATGCTGTTTCGAAGTCAACGAATTCAAAACCCGGACACTTGACAGGGTAAGCCTAGCAACGCAATCTTCGGAAAACCCTTTTGATCATAAACTGCGGGAATCTAGCATTTCGCTAGCCCTACTCCAAAATGTCATCAGGTGTGCGCGCAATGACTCACAGTACTCCTCTTCAACTCTAGACCTTGTGTTCTCCTATGGTGAGGATGTGGATCTCACACAACGTCTTCCTCCTTCAGAAAGAAATTATCACGCTTTCCTCACTTTACAGTTCACAGCAGCATTATCATGGGGCCATAACCCCAGCTTGACCAAACCTTTTGAAAGCTGATATAAATGCGATCGTCTCAGCAGCCAACTCAGTGAACTGGTAAATCAACCCAGAGCGTTAAGTGGAAGCAGTTTAAAAGCCTTAACTCCTACTTAACTGAACCTTTCACCCCTGTGTCTGTCCCAGAGCTTAGGAAACATTGCCAGCTTGGATAAACCGAGAGATCCGTAAATCACTCAGACGTAAACATAAATTCTGGAACCCGCATACTACACTTGAGACTCCAGAGTTCAGAAAGTTATACAACATAGCTAGGAACAAAGCTTGTGCAGAAATCCAGCAATCAAATATGAAATTCAAAGCACATCTGGCTCAAAATGCAAAGGCACAACATTAGAAAATTTCCTCGTAATGAACTTCAGTAACAAAACATCCAATGGTGTCCAAAACCTGACTATTGACAGTGACATAATAGGAGAAGATCACGAAAAAGCAGAATCAAGGGCACGCTTCTTCTCCAGAGACATTCTACAGGAGTCGTTGCTCCCCATGGGATCAGCTGTGACTGCACCGGAGGAATACGGGATAGATTCCGTTGACGTCGACCAAGAGATTTTGCCCAACTGTCTAATGAAACTAGATGGAGGGAAATCAACGGGCCCTGATAATCTTCATCCAAGGCTTCTCAAGGAGCTATAAGCTCACATAACGGGCACATTGGGCAAGATCTATGAGCTATCTCTCCCAAATGGAGTATTACATCGTTACTGGAAAGACGCCATAGTAACCTCCATATACAAAGGATGGTCAAGACAAAGCCCTTCAAATTACAGGCCTATTAGTCTCAGCAGCACTTTAATCAAGACACTGGAAAGAATCATCAACTAACGCATCATGGCATATCTGGAAAGCAACAATTTGTTTTCCAGAGCACAGCGTGGCTTCCGAGTAAACTTCTCATGCCTGTCAAATCTTCTCACTGCAAGAGAAAGTTGGGTCAAATTAAGAAACAACAGAAGACATATTGACGTCGTCTTCATTGACTTCAGCGAAACCTTCGATAAATTTGCTCAAAACGGACTACTCATGAAGTTGGAAAGTCTTGGTATCAAAGGAAGCTTACTAAAATGGATGAGGGAATTCCTCATGGATGGGAGGCAGAGGGTTAGAATCAGGTCGAAACTATCCTCCTGGACAGCAGTGCGTAGCGGAGTGTCACAAGGCACAACAATCGGACCTCTCATATTTATTTTGCATATTAATCAGTTATCCATGCTCACCGATTCTCCTATATGCAGATGACTTAAGAATTTGGAGGCAGCTCAAGAGCGACAGTGATGGCTCACGTTGAAAGAAGACCTCAATAAATAATCACAGTGGTACAGAGAATGGGTGCACTCGATCAATGTAGCGAACTGCGAAACCGTACCCGTCAGGCACGCAAGCATCAGTTCCTACTGACTAGAATGAATAACACTTTCATCAGTTCAGCTTCGGTTGGACTTAATTGTCATGGTTAGCCACGATTTAGAAACTACAGCGCACTGCCATGCGAAGGCTGCACGTAGTTTCAGATCCTTATCAGCGATTTTCAGAGCCTTCACTAGAAACACCAGAGATATGTTCACCTCCTCATAAAAACTTCTCTGGTGAGGTCAAGACTGCAAAATTGTATCTAGGTAGCCAGTCCTAGTCTCGCATATTCTAGAAAGGGTTCAGAGGAAGACATCATGTATGGTTCTCGACATGGCTAACCTATCATACTAGGGTAGAATACACAGTCTAAATCTCCCATCCCTATCATGCCGCAGGCAGAGAGGAGATTTACTTGCAATATTTCATATTTTAAATAATGATTACGAACCTAAACTATCCTTTATTTTTCTTACCACCAGGTCTCAACACCTTAGAGAAGAGGACAAGAGAGTGCAAAAAAGAATGAAGAAATCATAATTATGTAGAGTACTGGTCATCACAGAGAATCAAAAACTCTTGGAACCGACCTCCAGAAAATGTGGTGTCTGCAACTTAAACAGATTTATTCAACTGGCGTTCAGAAAACCACAGAAATTTACTGGAAAGAGATTAACATAGACAAAAAGCCTTCTAACCTCAAACAATAAACCTACAATCTGAAATCTGGATTTGTTATACTACGCTAGTAACTTTCACGCTCTAAAGGCGTTGTTTTGTTTTTCGGAGATTGTTCATAATAATATGACAACTGAGAGCTACGGAGATTTTACAACACCAAACACTACGATAACTAACGTGGTAGTCCAAGAAACATCTGACTTGTTGAATGTTATCATTCCAATTGTTTCAGTTTGCCTTTTCCTAGCTTCTGTTGTAATTACATATATTATTGATGATCCTGGTATCAAAACTCTGAAAAATATTACACCTGAGGTAATTATTTTCATCGTTTTCTATGGAAAAATGTAGGACGATTTAAAGCCCATAT